TATATATATATATATATATATATTACAGCTTTTAACACTTGCTGTCAATAAAGGTCAGCTTTCACAACCTGTGTCTTCCCGACTTTTATGTTGTAAGATGGTTGGTAAAATCTCTACCAAGTTTGATCCTTATATGTAAGTGAGTTTTGTGTGTTTTGAAATTACTAGTTAATTGCTTGGCAGTGTCATACATTATCATTGATACATTGTAGCAGTATATAGTGTTTAGTAGTATAATACATTTTAGTCTGCCATACTAATCAACAGTATATTAAATTCTGTATCATGCATAATAATATGATATTGTATTGGACTGTAGAGTTATAAAGGATATATATGTTTAATACACCATTGAATAGTGTGGTGCAACATTGTGATCTTGTATATGACATAGAAACTTGTTAAATATACTGTTTAGTTTGGTACAGTATCACAGTGTATCGTTACATATGATATAGAAGTTTAATGTACTGTTTGTTTTGTAAACATATATGGTGTTGTAATCAGTGTGTTACAGTACGTTTTGAAATATGTTGCAGTAGCTTTTAATACTTTATTTTATGATTTTAAAGTTTTTATAATACATATGTTTTTTTTTTAGAATTAAGAAAGAAATACTGCCAGTTGTTCAGTCACTTTGTCAAGATGTAGATTTTGAGGTCCGAGGATGCATGTGTCGTCAACTGGACGCTGTAGCACGAGGAATTGGGTCTGTACTTATGAATTATCTAACATTGTAGACTTTAAATCTTGTTCAGTTTACATGTGTTGATGTGTATACTTCTTTCATTCATTTGTAAACATTAAAATTCATCTGTTTAGGATACTTTGATTTTGTATTTTATTGCTTAACTTGTTAACATGTGTTAGTAGATACCTTAGGTTTATATTTCTGAAAGTTTTAAGTACTGACTGAAGTACTAAACCCGTTCAACAAAAATGGGACAGTAAATACAAAAATAAAAAGTTCTCTGTTTCAGTTTCTAGTCATCCTTAAAAACAGCATATATAATTAAAACAAGTTGCATTAAATAATTTAGTTAGTTGAATTTTATTAAAACAGTATAAATAAATGTGAGTTTAAACTGTGAGAAATATTACACTTTTTTGTACAAGTTTGAAAGTTAAGTCATTTTTTGCTATTGAAAGATTATTATTAATACAGGGTGTCCATAAATTATCTGACCCATTTTTGAAAATTAATAACTTCAAAAAAATATTATAGATACAACATTCCAGTTTCATTCAACCTGACAAACAACTCCTAAAGTTTTTTTCTTGTGTTAGTATACTTCCACATGTGCACCATTTGTTGCTTGAAGAATGTCTACGTGGTACTCTATCACCCTCCAGGTGTTGTTCAGCATCTCAGGATTCACATTCTTATTGCATCGATTATTCTGTGGCAAAGATCAATGATATAATGCAGAGGTGTTGATTATACTTGATCTTTCACAACCCATCACAAGAAAAATTCCAACAGGGTTATGTGGGGGCCATCATGTTAGTCCATCTCTACCAATCCATCTGTTTGGGAATGTGATATTTAGGAACTCCTGGACATCAACACTCAAGTGTGGTGGAGCACTAGCTTGTTGAAAAATAACATGAGGCAGATTTTCCAGTTGAGATACAACAAACAGCTGGAGTGTATCTAAATAACTTGTTCCAGTCATAGCTTTTTCAGTGCATAAAAATGGTCTGATGGTTCTGTCACTCAACAAGCCACACCACAGATTAATCTTTGGGCCATCACATTTGTGCTCGTACACCACATACGGATTTTGTTACCCCCAAATACAGACATTATGTCGTTTGACATAATCGCAAACATGGAATGTAGCCTCATCTGAAATCAAAACTTTTACCAAGCATTCATTATTCTGATCTATCCAATCAAGGATTTCCACTGTAAAATTCTTGTGACTTTGTCCATCTGGTTCAAAAACCTTACAGTAACTGTACTTTGAAGACATGCAAGTTAAGTTCAAGGGAAGCACAACAAATGGACTTCTTTGATCAACTGTTGTATCAGATACACTTGCATGTCCAGCTCCCTTTTGTTGTAACACAGTACCACTTGCTAGGAATATTTCATACCAAGTTTTTATGCTATTCTTGGTTGGTGGGTGTTTTTAATAAATGTGTCTGTAATTTCGTTGCTCTGACCCGACTGATTTAGATTCAGCAAACCAAACCGCACACTGAGCCTTTTCTTGGGGTGTTGTCATTTATATTTTCACTTATTCTCTTTTCTAGCAATACTCCTACAACTGATCTGCAAGAGAAAGTAGGAAAAAACTTTGAGTGTTCATCAAGTTAAATAAAACCAAAGTGTTCTATCTATAATATTTTTGAAGTTATTACTTTTTAAAATGGGTCATATAATTTCTGGACACCTTGTATTGCAAAGTATTATTTGATATGTTTTAAGTTATTTGTACTATATTTTTAAGAGTGTAATGATTAGTTTTACTAGTAAAAAAAACTGGTCCTGTCATATAAGAATGCAGTTTATTTTAGGTAAAATGCATATTTTAAATTATGGCAGACATTTATAGAATATTTTTCAGTGTGGTTTGAACAGTTTAACATAATTAATTTTTAGATATTAAAAACCAACAAATTTAAAAAGGTGGATATAGTTTTTCAGAAAAAAGTCCTGAATTAAAGCTCTATTTATGCTTTGAATTAATGAAAAAAATATTTGTTCAAAGTTATTTACTTTTTAAAAAGTCCATATCTTATCTGAATTGTAAGGAAATATGTTCATTTACATTATGTTATTAGGCATTCTTCCTAATGTAAAATTTAAATATTTAATTTAGCCTTGAAGCCACAAAAAGTGCACTTCTGCCTGAACTTGTAGAGCTAGCCAATGATGAGGAAAGTCATGTACGTTTGGCAGGCATAGAAACAGTGGTTCGAATGTTACCAATGCTTGATGATGGTAAATGTTGTGTTATGTTGTAATATTTTTAATTTTTATACCTTAATGATTTATGAATAATGTTGTCATTGGATTACAGAATAAATGGATGAAACAAAAAGGTACATGCATTCTGATTTTCATGAGTATAATAAATAGATTATGTTAACACGTCCCTCAGGAACCATGGAGTGTCTTTACACTACAATTTGTTGAATATTAAATATAAGTTCAATCCAGAAACTCCCAAAGAGTGTGGTTTCGGATGTATCTTTTCGAGACAAGTTTTCATTTGTTAATTGATAATTTTTTAAGTGAAATACAGCATCCTCAAGTCTCCATACTAGTTAGTACTAAGGTCTACCTGCTGGGAGTAAATTCAGTATATATCAATAAAGCCATATTCTCAGCATCATTAACTAAGCAATTGCCAACCTTTTATGCCTCTGCTATCACCTTTTTATGCTTAGCTTTCAAGTGAGATACAAACGATTTCACCTGCGATTCAGTAGGGAAGGTCGAAGCATCACGATAGTCAGCAGTAAGATGAGCAGACAGGAACACTTGGAAAGTAGCTACAGGCATAATATTTTACTCGGCTTGCAGCACAATATCTACCAAAGTGGTTCTAAAGGGTTCCTGAATACCTCTGCGCGTCATTGGGAGACTTCTGTGCTTCGCTATTAAGCTTGTGATGTGCTGACAGATTTCAGTCACCTTACCACCTCAAATCGCTTTTCGCAGCTCCAACGCTAAAAGAGTGCGAGAAATGCCTTCTTTTTAGCCAATAAAAATATCCAAAAAATTTCAGTTCAAATTAATAAAAACTGTATTGGGTAGGTTTTTTTTTCAACAGAAATGTCCCCCACTAACTTGTGAGGGTGAGGGGCCTGTTAAAATTTCATTGTAATGTTTTAAAAAAAGTATTTAAAATGAGATTGAAGATGTTTATTTTTCTGAAAATTCTATATTTCCATCTAGATTTATTTTGATACTTTTATGTAGTTAAATTTGAAACTTTTGACATTTTTGATCAAATATTTATTTTATTATTGCTGAAAAACATCTCAAAAATGACATTAGTTATTTTAGAACTGAAATGCTTAATATTAATACATCTTCTTGTATGGTTCAGAAACATGTATCCAGACTGTTATTCCATTGGTCAAGAAGTGTTGTGAAAATTTTATGAAAACCAAAGATGCTGCCTTACCAGTAGTTGCCAAAGAACTGGGGAAGTTATGTTGTGGACTATCTGGTTAGAATTTCTTTAATAATTAAAATTAAGATTTAGATGTTGAATTAATATATATATATATATATATGTACACACATGTTTTGTTCTTAAACACCCATTGTAAAAGTTCTCTTTCTTTATTGGAAATTATGATATTAAGTGTCAAATGTTCACTACTTTCATATTTTTGTAGTGAATCTCTCATCTGAACAGCGCATGTGGTTTCTCCAGTACTACCAACAGTTGGCTGGATTAATTCTTCCAACTACTAGGTCTTCCAATCAAGTCACCAATAAAAATCCTGTAAGTGCAAATTTTAAGTGTACATACATATTAAAAAAACATCTTGCATCAGATGTGATATACATTATTAAGTAATGGACAAGTATTTTTTTTTATCATTATGCATTATAGCTTTGTGATACCTTACTGAATATTGTACATATGCTGCTTTATGAATTACACTAGTATAGTCAAACAGTAGTATGTTAAAGTGACAGGGATTTGGGGAATTTATTTGAGACATCAGAGGTTCAAAGTAGTCAATCTGTGACCTTGATTGTTTTTCTGATAAATGATAAATGTAGAGTACTGGATACAATGTATGTTAAAGGAAATGGGCAGGTCTAACTTTCAACTTTAACAGCAGCTGTGTCTCAAGATACTAATGTTTGGCTGTATTTGATATGTGCTTTATTAAATATGCATACATTTGATGCTTTATATCCAATAAAATTGTGTTTCTGCATTAAACATGATGTAGGCATAAGGAATATGTGATGTTAAATATTACATTAGTTTCCACTGTAGAATTTGTGGATAATATATAGAATCTGTGTATTCATAGTTACTTGTATATGGGAAAATAAATCTGTGTAATTTATTAAGTCCATCCCTTCTAAATTCTGTAAAATAGAAGAAAATGAATAGTTTCTGGTTTTGGAGATTTTATCAAAATTTTATTTTTTATCTAATAAAACCGAATAAACACTTAAAGCATATTATGGTCTTCCAGGTTTTGCAAGCATTATAGTTCTTGATTTTGTTCAAAATAACATATTATTGTTGTCAGTTTTGGCTGAATACTTATTATTTCATAAACATTTTATTTTGAAATCTTCAGTTATTAAATATGAAAATATATTTTTTCGTGAGATAATTATCGTATGTAACTGTTATAGTAAGAATGAATTTAACTCCTTTTTTTGTTTATATAATACCAGAATAAAAGAAAAAGCCATAGAATTATCATTAAGCACATTGAAAGCTTAACGAATATTTACCTACCTTATCCTTACAGTTTGGGAAATGTTGCTACCATTGAATTATGAAATTTTATATTTTTTTAATAGCTGAAGTTTCTTATTTAAAAAAAAAAAAAAATTGGTAAGAAACAGTAGATATTTATTTATGTTAGGAAATGATATAGAACTGTTACATAAATATAAATTAATTCAATAATTTCGCGTGTGTTAAAACAAATCTATAGATGCCTGATGTTGTACCTCAAGCTGAGAATCAAGACACTGACAGATTCACCGAGTGCCGTCATGCTTGTGCTTACAATTTTCCTGTAAGTATTTACTGTTAAAAAGAAATGAAAGTCTCTTTTGCTGTGCACTAAATAGCTTTTTTTTCAGTGTAAATCAAGTTACTGTGATTTGATTATCAGGGTTGTTTGGAGGTGGCTATTTGTAATGTTATGTTGAGAAAAGATTAATATTAACACATGCTGTGGATAACAGTTGTTCCAAGTTGCCAATTGACACTTACTAATTTTATGAACATTTCATAAATCCATTCCAAATTCTTTTTTTTTCTAGGCCATGGTACTTTTTGCAGAAACTCAGAATTTCTACAGAGAACTATACAAGACCTTCCGAGCATTAACTACTGATCCTTCCTCTAGTGTAAGAAGAACTATAGCATGTGGAATTCATGAAGTAAGTCAATGGTTGATAAAGAGTATAAACACTGAATTCAGAACAGAGAGTAATAAGGAGCAAACATTGTGAACTAAGGACGATAGGTATTAAATAGTAAACAATATATAGTGAGGAGAGATTAATACAGAGCAAACAGTATAAAATAATGACAGTGAATAGTAAAGAGAGGATATCATTATTTTATACTAGTATAAAATAATGCCGGTGAGTAGTAAAGAGGGGATAGTATAAAATAATGCCGGTGAGTAGTAAAGAGGGGATAGTATAAAATAATGCCGGTGAGTAGTAAAGAGGGGAT